ATAGAGAGACAAAATATATTTGTCTGTTAATAAACGTTCTTTTTGTCACATGAAAAAACTATAAAGAAACTATGTTTCTAGAAATTGTGAGACGGCATATTCATAAAATTTGCTAGCCTGTTATAGAATCCTGGTATGTGACAGACAAGTCATAATTGTCTACTTCCTAGTTTTCTATGTAAAATAAAGAGTGCTGATGGTCAAAAATGATAATCAATATATGAAAATAAAACTACTAAAACTATTAAAGGAAACAACTTTGTATGAAAAGTATGCAAGGAAAGTAGGATGTGTTTTTGATAAGAAAAAGTATACAAGGTATGAAAGACGTGTTTTTGTTAAGGGAAAAAGAGAGTAATTTTGTTCAGAAGTTAGATGACTTATTGTTCTAGAATGAGAAGAAGGAAAAATACAGGACAAAACCTAAGTGTATATGGAAAGTTGTAGAAGGTTTTTGGAAAAGGAATCTTATATTATGTGGTCAAAGCTGGCTAAGACTGAATGGATTTATTTATAGGTTTAAAAAAATGAACTCAATAGTGTGCTGATACAAAACTAGAGTTTAGTTTTCTCTCTGTTAAAACAACAAAGTTTTCTTGGATTATTGGTCTGCTCTTAATAAGAGATTGTAAAAGATTTTTCTTTACCTTTTAAATAATCCATCTAGGAAACAAAAAATTCGTGTCTTACCAGAATAATATCCTCTACTTAATTTTAACCTTTATCATGTCCTCAACTATTTAAGAGAACCAAGTCTTCTCACTTTTTAAAAGTGCTAGGGTTTTTTACACTTTTGACAATTTTGTCTTCTCAAAATCAAATCCTAAATGAAATCTTCTTGTTGTAGAACTGATCTTGAGATTTCCCAGAGGGCCCTGGAGAATCTCAAAGAATTTGTTCTTTCACCTTGTAAAAAGAGAGATGTTACAAAATAGTTACGTTTATTTAATATGCTAAATAGCACGGGAAGCATTGTCAAATGAGAAGTGAAACTTAAACTTCTTTAGGTTATACCAGTATGGGTAAATGCTATTATTATAAATACTTCAGAGATTGTATGAAGCTCATATATTTGTCAATACCCTTGCTGCCATGATATCTCTTGGTGTAATGTTATCAGTCATAAATCCAGTTATTATTTTAAAATGTCATATGTCAGAGGAATGACCAAATTTCCTTGTCAAGTGAACTTTTATCAGATCTTTAAACATGGCCTTTTGTCACCCATAGATAGTTTTTGTTTTACTCTGATTCTCTCCTGAAGGCATTTACAATCAGCTACCAGCCAAAATGATTTGTCTTCAAAAGAAAGGACTGTCTCAGAAACCCACAGGAAGAACTTTGACAGATACTCTGGAGTATAGGCTTTTAATGGCATTGCTTAAATAATTTTGAGACCATACCATTGGACTAAGTAAGAATTTCCAGAACACTAGCAGAGAAGCCGATGAATTCGTGAAACTGCTACCCCAAGATCAAGTGGAATGAGAATTCATTACATGGGATGAAATGAACTGATGAAGGATGATTTTTGTTTGGAACATTGCTAGTTCTTAATGTTCCATTCTGGATACAAGGAACCCTTTTCTTCTACTCTTAAGTTATCTATAACTCACAGCAATTTAGTAGATTCTACTTCTGTGAATAAGAATGAAACATTTATCTTTTCTCTCTGACTGATACCTCCAAAATTCAGAAACTCTTACTGAGTGTTCTTATTTTTATGGCAATATAGTTATCTGCAGAAGTTCAATGAGAATCAGTTCTCTTCATAACAGGACATAATTGGAAACACTGGTTATATTGCCAAGGCTTCCACTGGAATGTTATATTTGAGAAAGATGTTTAAAAGCAAATATGATGAGACAGTTTTAAGGAACTAATATTGACTTTATGGAGTCAATGATTACAAAGCTCTCTTGGAAAAACCAGCCTGGCGTTTGACTTTCAGTGTTCTCAGCCTTACAGGTGAGTAAAGAAGCTCATTAGGATATTTTGGGGATCTTGAGAAGAAAGGAATTTGCCCAAATATATATGTATTGAAGGCAAAATCTGGTGATGAATTCTTGGCTTGGCTTCCTGGCCTTGAGAAGCTTCTAAAAGTCTCATCTGAGATTCCTTATTAAAAGTTACAGCAAAGCAAACTTAAAAATGTCTGTGTGGTAAATTGCCATTCTTGCTGCACTGATGTAAACAAGGCCAAATCTAACAAGACCAGACTTATTTTGTACACAAGAATCAAAAGGGGGATGACTGTAGAGAGAAATTTTAAGTGCACCCTCGTGGGCTATTGCATCATAATCCTATCCATTGTCTTCAAGCTATTTTTCACCTCTTGGTAAACTCCATTTTACATTCTACTTTGATATCCGCCTGTAAACTGGACTGGATCCTGCCTCTTGCACAGTTTGTCAGTAATTAACATTTACAATTTTTCTCTCATCCTCCTGACTTGGTATCACTGAGAACTAAAATTGCTCTTTTCTCAAAGCCCTGCAAGCTGAAGCTGGCTGACTTGATAGAAATTTCAGATAAATTACCACAATAGATTATGTATGGGCAACCTTTGTGCCTGCTATTGTGTGGGTCACTCAGAAAAGTTCACCAGAACACCCAATGCCATCACTAAAGACATTCAAACTGCAAAAGATGTTCTGAGCCCAACATCTAGAAATCTTCTTGACGGGTTGCCCTCTGGACTTAGAAACTAGCTTCATAGTCTGCTTCAGTCATTAATCTTTGTTTTTCTTTTATTTTCTTAGGAACACCCTACATTAAATACCTGACTGTTCGCATCATCCAGCGAATATCTTTTACTACTAAGTCTCAGCAAATGGATCAGCTGGTCCTTAAGGAACAAAAAGTGACTGAGAAAGAAATGGACTTAGATTACAGGGGAAGGAAGATTGCATCGTCTTTCCTTGAATAACAGGAAGGAATGACAAAGACTCCCCTGAATTAAACTTTAGTCAGGCTCCCCTAAGCCCTCTAGGCCTTGACTTTGGCATCCTTCCATGGGTGGCCTGCATTGCCCAGTTGTAGCAAAAATCTTGATAAGTCAGTTTAGCCAGAATCCCCTACACTCCATATCTGATCAAATTCCTCATCACCCACAATCCCCCAGGTGCTATCTGATCATGCTGGCCTTCCTTAAGCAAGAATCCTATTAGGTCTGTTTAACCAGAATTCCCCTTACCCCTGATGTTTCCTCTCAGTAATTTCCATCCACTGACCTCCACACTGCTCCTTGGCTATAAATCCCCACTTTTACTTGTTGTATTCAGAAGAGCCCAGTTCATACTGAGGTCTAGTGTCACTCTTGCAATAGTTCCTGGATAAAATATTTTTACTACGTTAACTACGTCTGGCTCTGTTTGTTTTTGTTTTTTTTTTTTCTAACAAATGTAAGTGTTGGGTAGGAAGAGAATTCCTCTACTCTCTAGGTTCTTCTGGCTGGGCTACGAATTAAATTCACATGAGATAGAATAACAGGAGAAAATCATACAAAGCTTTATATAACATGTGTACATGGGAGAGACCCAGGAAAACTGAGTAACTCACCAAAACGGTGGAGGCTGTTACGTTAAATATCATCTTCAGCTAAAGCCAAAGGAGGATGTTGAGGGTGACAAACAAAAATGGCAAGCAATAGGATATATTGGAGTATATGAGGAAGCCATTTGGTATAAACCTAATTCGGCCTGACCTTGTCTTTCCAAAAGGGCCTGACTGAGGCCATTGAGCATGCATTGTATATCTGCTTTAGAGATTCCCTATGGCAAGAACAAAGGCCCTTAAGATAAAGGTGCAACTTCCCTCCCCCTCCCAACGTTGGCGTCTCCTTAAGGATTAAGTATCTTTCCTTAGGCTAGAAACTGATTGCTGTGCTCACCTGTGACCACCCAGCTCGAGACAATAGACTTGCCTCCTGCTACGCCCACCGAGATAGCAGACCCACTACCTGCTGTGTCCATCAAGCGCTGTGCTGACAGGGCGATCTTGTGACTATTGTGGGAGGGACATTTCAATCATATGTGAAACACCCTCTTTGAGGGTATATAACCACCCTGTGTACCCCCACTTCTTTGAAGTGCTCTGTTCCTTTGTGGAAAGACTCTCCCGGGTTATAATCCTAAGATTTAAGCTCAGAATAAACTCACCCAAATTTTCATTTATAGATTGGTTATGGATTATTTTCGTCGACAGGGGTGATGGGGAGTCAGTTATGGGAGATTACCAGAAAAGCACAGTAAACAAAAGTAAGGTTATTGTGCAGATTTAAGTCCTTGCCTTCCCATTGATAAGAGTTTCCAGGGAGGAGACACCTCTCTAGAGGTGGTGGGGGACAGCCACCCACCCAGTGTTCCTGGTACAGAGAGGAAGAGACAATCTTTACAAATGGAGATTTCCCCTGCAAATACAAATGTCTCTTACAAAGGGTAGCTTCTACTTCTACTTGGTTTTCCGAGCTTTTCCCATGTCTGCAGTTTTTAAACATAACAAACTCGCAATAATCCTCATGCCAAAGAGACACATTTTAGGGTGGCCAATTCTGATCCCCCATATATGCATACGAATTAAGAAATATTATCATCACAAAACAGTGTTGCTCCTGGATTGGAAACAATCACTGGCTACACAGACTGGGAAGATTTCTGTTTGAACCAGTGGCATAGCACCACCACTATCCACCTGACATCCCTTCTTCCATCATCCCCCTCATGGTGTTGTCTGGAGTTTTTTTTTTCTTGTCATTGACCAAATGACTCACAAAATTGAACTCTAAAGTTTCAGTCTACACATATTTGAAAAGAAACAAGATAATATTTATTCGTTCCCAGCTAACGGAGGACACACTTTGTATCAGACTGACATTGTGATATAGCGTGTCTATTTGATTTTGCAGCTTTGGAGAATAATATCTGAAAACAGGTCTGTGAACATTTCTGTGGTCAGTTGCATGCTACACTCCATGCAAATCTGAGCGCCTCCCTTTAAGAGGATCCAGACCTCCTCCGGTTCTCAGGGCTTCGGGAAACCACTTGCCAGAGCCCTGCCCTTTCCTTGGCCTGTGCCCTGCGGTCTGCAGCAGGCGCGCCTCAAGGCCGGCGGCCTGGGAGGAACTACATTACCCAGATGCCCCTGCACTGTGCGTCTGCGGCGCTGGACCAATGAAGGCCCTTGAGAGACGCCTGTCCGTGTGGGCGAAAGGCGTGTAGTTAGCAGTTCCGGTGTTTTCCGGATGTAGCTTTGCGGCATTTTTCGTCGCAAACGTCGCTTTCAGTCTGTCTGCTTGTTCTGGTTCTAAGTGGTTGGTGGAGTCCAAGGTCAAGTGAGCGCGAGGCCACGGTAGATGTTGTCCCCTCTGGCAGAGGCGGTTCTGAGGCTCGGCGAGGGCGCCGCTTGGGGTGACCCGGTGCAGGCGGCTGGCCGGGGTGGGCGTGTGGCTGAGCCCTGTTGGGTCCGGCACAGGCTGGTGCTGCATCCCCCAAACCCTCACCCCTGGGGACTCCCGCCTCAATGCTGAAGACCCGAGCGAGTGGTGCCTGCTCGGTTCGCTGTCAGTCAGCCCCTTCCTTCAGGACTTCGGCGCATTCCTGGGGTGCGGTCCCATTTCTGACAGATAAATCGTCTTCAAGGCAGAGGGACAATCCCGTGCGAAGGTTTGGAAGTGCGGCTGAGTGGAGTATTCGGAGACTTGGGGCCAGTCTCCTGTCTCCAGGAGACAGATGGGGAGCGGCCTGGCCGCCTGCGCAGTGCGGCCTTCCTTCTGAGGGCGCTGGTAGCCATGGAGGGTTTTGAAATAAGAGACTTGGTCTGAGATAGGATTTTAAAAGGTTTCCAAAGGCAGCTCAGGGTAGAATGGACTTGGGGGAGGGGTAAAAGTGGGAGACCTTGAGAAAGCTACTGCAACAGAGCCCGGGAGAGCACGGTGAGGGCCGGACCGGAGCGGTCGCTATAGACGGGTGTCTGAGGAAAAGTGCAGTGGGCACAGTTCAAACAGGCGAGGAAGACTTTATTGAAGACCCCTGCAAGAGGGGAGAGAGACCAAACGACTCCACTGAAACAGAGTGCTGTTTCAAGTGCTGGAGGGAGCTGGTGGGAAAGTCCTGGAGGACGTTGGATGGGGAGGTCGACCACTGGGATCTGTTGAGCACGTTGAGTTATTCCTGAGTTTGCAGATCTTTTCCTCTGTGATTAAGACTTATGTGTTTTCTAATTGGTACCTATTGAAGTTAGGCTCCTACCCTCCCACAGAGACTGAGAGATAAGGGTGCTGTCTCCTTCGATGTTTATATTTCAGAAAGATGGTTCCCAAGTCCTTGAAAAAGACGTTCCCTGGGTCGTAAAACTGGCAAGAGGCTGGGAGGAGATTTACAGACCGTTTAAGGGGCAGAGAGAGAATTTACAATTGCAAATTTCCTAAAGTACCTGCTCTAAGAAAAGGGAGGCCAGGGACCTATAGTGAGGAAGAAACTTGTCCAGAGTTGAGTCAAGCTGAGGGGATGTTAAGCGGATGCTGGCCAGGGGTAGAAGTGATACAATGCAAGGTAGATTTTAGGGACAGAGGGCTCTTTTAAGGATAGAGGACTCACATCCACCTAGAGGCCAAGGCCTACCTTCCCTGCCCCCATTTTTAACTTGTGAACTTCAGAAACAGCATTTATCTCCAAATTGAACAATCACTATTCCTCTAAATGAGTAATATAGGTAGTCAATTAAAATCAAAAATGCATGGATTTAACAAGGTAAATTTATGAAAGCACTTAATATTTGGTTCATCTCTTAATACATAACTAAGCAGAATGCTAACATGCTAAAATCGAAAGTCTTAAATAACGTATTCTGTTAAATGTTTAAAGGTGGCTGAAACATACATTCAGAATTTCAAAATCCATCACTTCATTTGCATTTAGAACACTGACAGAAGCCTTTGTTCTGTGGCTAGTGCTAGCATATACTCAGCACTTAATATGTACTACAGTGTTTGATTCCAACACCAGCCCTATGAAGTTGGTTCCCTTACTATCCCATTTTCCAGAAGAAGACACTGAGGCACAGAGAGGTTGAGGTGTCCGAGATCACACAGCTGATAAGAGGCTACACCAGTGACTGAGGCTCATAAGTTAGACATTCAAATGGAGGTCACCTTGCTCCAGAACAGGGATGAGGGGTTGGCTGAACCCTTGAAACCCCACCAGGGATGCCCATCGCTCACAGTCTTCTTCTTCTCATGGGGACCTGTGGCTGCAGAAGTGCTTATGGACCACGCACAGGTGAGTAGAGGGTATCTCTGGCCCTCGCCCAACCTGTCTCCCACCCATGTAGCCTCTGGCATTGTGGTATCTTGGAAGTCTGCACCTGCCACCCTCCTGGCCATTGGGATTAGGGCTCCTGGGTTCCCTGAGACTCGGTGTCCTGAACCCACCCCAGGAGTCATATGAAGGGTTTCCATTTCTGACAACCAATAGAATGCTGTGTGGGCAGTATTATAGGCACAGAGATCAGCATTTGCAGATACTTGTAGGTGACACTGAGTTGGCAGAATTCAGGGAGCTGCAGGTCTCCATTGTGTCTGGTGGGAACAGAGGGCAGGGATGCAGGAGTCATGCATAGAATGGCTGTCTGAGGAACTGTGCCTCTGTTCTGAGGGTGTTAGGAATCAATACTTGGAACATTTTAGTGGAGGAGGGAGGTACCTGAATCAGGGCCTAATAGACTTCCCCTGGCTGCAGACTGGGGAACAGAAAGTAGTGGTGAGGTGAGAGGGTACCGAATAGTCCTGATGAGTATTGGTACTGACTGGGTGTTGGGTGTTGGCTGTGGAGGTGGGAGAAACTTACAGCTTCTGGATTTGTTTTTAAAGTAGGTCTGACTATACTTTCTGATGAGGAGGGTAAGAGAGAAAAGAGAGGAGTCATGGATAACTCCAGGGTTTGGGACCTTTGCAGCTGGAAGGAAGGGGATGCCATTAACTGAAATGGGGAAGTAATTTTCAGGACGAGTAATTTTCAGAAGGAATATCAGGAGTTAGGTTTGGACATACTGAGTCCGAGATGTTCCAGAGACTTCTGAGTGGAAACGTTGAGTGGATGGTAAGATGCATGTGTCTGGATTTGAGTGTAGGAGTTCAGGTTGGAGACATCACAAGGCGGTATCCTGTGTGTGGACGAGGGTAGAGCTGTGAGTCACATTTAGGAGGGGAAATCTTCAGGTTGTGGTGGCAGTGGTACTAAGGGGCAAGGAATGGGAGGGCGAGACTAGAGGACTGGGCCTATTTCGTGAGCACCTGATTGAGATTAGTGAGCATCACAAAGACAGATGAGGGAGAGTAGTGGCTGCGGGGGAAGAGGTGGGTGTCAGGGAGAGGTGGATCCAGCAGATGGCCAAGGCTTCCAAGGGCGAGTGGACATGAGATGGATGTGGAAGCATAGCAGTAATGGACGTGCGATGACAGTGAGGCCAAGGACAGTGCTTACTCTCCCCTCTAAAGCCTCACTGGGTTTTTGTGGTGACCATTGTGGAGACTGGAGAGTTTCACACAGGCTGGTGGATAAACTCAGGAGCAAACGGGGGAGTTATCGAAGACTGGGAACCAGTAGGGGTGGACATTGGATGAGGCTTTGATGGAAAGAGGAAGGCTGAGATTGGTGTGGGGACAGTGTGTGCAGCACAGCAGTGGAAGAGGACTTAGAGTATCTGACACCTGCACGAGGTTCTGGGTGGCTGAGATTGAAGTAAGGAAAAGGCATGGTGAAGAGGCCTTTAAAGCAGGGCCAGGGGCTTCCCCTGCCAGTGTGGGCCACCAGGGGTCAGGCAGGATGGAATCCTGCTTGCATTTGCCAGGCTCTTCGTGGATGCTCTCTGTGTGCAGAGTGGCATGTGGGGAGGCCAGGAAGATGCCAGTAGTGTGGGTCAGGGAGTTGGTGGTGGCAGCGGGAGGTCAGAAACGTGAAGGATGCAGTTGACATTTCACATTGCATAAGTTTAAGGTGTACAAATGTGTTGATTTGATACATTATATCTCAATATATTTTTGTTAAATGTGAGAGAGTTTTGTCCACAGAGTGATGTGCTCCAGGGAGACAGCATGAACAGGTGGTCCTGGGGACTTGGCTCTAAGAGCTTAATGGAGAAAGCTGAGCCTGCGTTTGGCTGTACTGGGAGGCGTGATGTGGGGGACCCCAGGGGGATTTGCTGGGAGGAGACGGGATGGGGCCCTTCATGCCTGGCCCGGAGCTTAGATGGCATTTATTTGCCCGCATGCCTCTAGTTATGAGCTGACACAGTCATCAATAAGACCATGAGCAGAGAGGGGGCACTAGTGGTATCTTGCCTTGTATCTCCTAAGAGTTGAGCTGGGGAGGAGGGTGGGCAGGGAGTGGATATTTTGGGGGGAAATGAATAGGCTGAGGGTCCTGATAAGAGAGGCTGCTCAGGGACACCACTCTCCCCATCATGGTAGGGTGATATGACCTTTGAGGATGCAGCTGTTACTATTCGCAGGCGTGGAAGCTTCTTGATGGGACTCAGAGACTCCTGTACTGAGATATGATTCTGGAGAATTTTGCACTTTTGGCCTCACTGGCTAAGTCCCTCACACTCACCCCAGTGTCCTTGACTGGACTGTGTCCTTCCCCACATTGCCAGGGCCACTCTTTCCTTCCTATGGCCAAACTGTAGCCGTTGCTCGCTTCCTGGGTTTTCTTGCATAGGTGCTGTAGGTACCAGGGCTGGGCTGGGTGCACTCTTATCCTCTTCCCAAACAGCCCCAGTATCTGCAACCCAGAAGCCTTGCAGGGACTGCGGGGGAATCAGTGGATCCCACTAGACTTGGCCTCGCCCTGGCAAAGTGACCGTGCAGATTCATTGTACCTCTCTGCCCCAGGTTCTGCCCCCTTCCCTCCAGCTGACATTCCCTTGTGCCTGACTGTGCCAAAAATTGCAGGTACCAAATGGTCACTACTTGTGGGGACCTCTTGGCTATTCCTGTAAGACACCTTTCAATGGTTCTTTTTGTAATAGTATTACTTTTCTTTCCTGTGGTCTCGGTCACTCTGCACCGGCGCTGTCCACTCACTTGTCTTTCCCTTAGGACTTGTGTCTTCCCAGATAGACATAATTGTCCCGTTGGAGCTGAGGGGAAAGATGTTAGTGCTGGCAGGGCAGACATGACTCCAGCCACAGCAAGAGGCCCTGGAGGAGGACTGGCCTTGGGAAGTGGAGGATGGCTCAACATGAGGGCTGGGTTCAGATCATACCAGGAACCTCTCTAGGGCCCATCACCATTTTCGTACCAAGGACTGACCATAACTCATTTCTGTCTTTCAGTCCCATTCTTGACATTTTTGTCCCCTTGTCATTTCTACCCTAACTTCTGGCCAGGGCTAATTGACACCTATCTGGTCTTCAAGTCTCCCCTGTTTCTCTCCACTGCTCCCTCTGAAGTGCTCTCCAACACTGAGCCACACGTGACATGTTGTGAGATGTGTACATATCCTAAGAAGTCCTTGAACACCAGCTCCTCGGTTGCAGTTGGTCTTTCAGAGTCTGAACACTCTTTAGCACAGCACGCATTTGCCACCAGCAGACAAGCGCCTGCTGAAAGCCATTTGCGAAGTGAGTTGGAGACCCGGCCTCTCCTTCTTGTGCTACATCCCATCACTGTGTCCTCTCCCCACAGTAGACCTCCCCAGTGTGTCATCTTCCAGGCTCAGCCGCACAGCAGACTCTTCCTTACCCCAGCTTCAGCCCCTTGTCCTCCTCCCTGCCGTCCTCTGTACTCATTCTTGAGGTTGTAAGATACACGTTTGTGATGGGGCCGCCCCCTCCCACCAAAGTCTACATGTACTTCACCAACATTTCTCTGCTTTCAGGTTGGTTTCAAATGGAGGATGAGGGGGCACCTTCTCAAGGCGTGTCACAACTCAGGGCTCCCAAGGCAGGTCCAACTACCCAGAAAGCCTACCCTTGTGGGATGTGTGTCCCAGTCTTGAAGGACATTTTACTCCTGACTGAGCACCAGGGAATGTGCCCCGGGCAGAGACTGCACATGTGTGCGGCCTGTGGGAGATAACTCTGGTTCATTACAAGCATCCCCCAGCACTGGAAGCAGCACAGTGGAGAGAAGCACCTCAAAAGGGATGACTATGGGACTGCATTTGTTAAGAGCTGCGGAGTCCACATGTCAGTGAATCCTTTTGCATGTGGATGGTGGGAAGAGCCCCTGGCCAGCTTGAGCCGTGTCCAGCACCAGGCCACATAGAGCCATGGGATTCCGCACAGAAGCACCATGTGCAGGAAGGCCTTTCACACTGTAGTAAGATCTTGTGAATGTAGAGAGATGTGGGAAACTCTATAGTCACAAAATCACACTTGTTCAGCACCAGAGAATCCACTCTAGAGAAAGGACTGAATGTGGGAAGTTCTTTAGCCAAAGCTCTTACCTTATTGCATAGTAGAGATTTCACATTGGTGAAAGGCCGTGTGAGTGCATCTAATGTGGGAAGTTCTTTAGCCAAAGCCCCAGCCTCATTCTACACCAGAGAGTTCACTCTGGAGCGAACCTTTATGACTGCAGCGAATGTGGGAAAGCCTTGTGCCACAAAGACACACTTGTTTAGCACCAGAGAATCCACACTGGAGAAAGGCCTTCTGAGTACAACAAACGTGGGAAATTTAGCCAAAGCTCCAGCCTCGTTGTACAACAGAGAGCTCACTCCAGAGCATGGCCTTATGAGTGCAGTAAATGTGGGAAAGCTTTCTGCCTAAAATCCATACTCGTTCAGCACTGGGGAACCCATAGTGGAGAAAGGCCTTAGGAGTTCCATGAATATGAGGACTTCTATGAATATGAGGACTTCTTTAGCCACAAGCCTGGCTCCATTAACACTGGAGAGAAGCAGTGTAGTGACTAAGAAAGATTCAATGGCCTTTGCTCACTCACCATAAGAAAATTCACACTGGAGAAAGGCCTTAGGAGTACAGGAAGTGTGCCATCTGCTTGTTCAATGTAATGGCTGACGTCAGAGGGAAGCTCTGAGAGTTGCCTCTGTGAGCTAGCCTTCAGCCAAAAGTTGAGCCTCACACCGAACGTCCGTACTGCAGAGATGCTATATGTGTGTCAAGTATGTGGGGAACTTTAGGAGCTGCACTGCACTTTGTCATCAGCCCAAGGCCCTTGCCCGAGTTTGAGCATTGCCAGTACCTGTGGAAGAAGCCATGTCACTTCACCAGTTGGCAAGGGTGTATCAGGCCACCCAACATGCTCAGTGAACACAGACCTCTGCGCTCTTTATCCCATTCCCTGGAGGGAAATCATGAGTGGTCTAAGCATAATTATAATTGATACATGAACACTGGATATAAATGATACAGAGTTGGGGGTGCCTGTAGCATGCTAGTGGGGATGTGCCACATCTAAAGGTTTTTTTCACAAATATTCTGGTCTGTTCACTGTAACTCTGATGACAAGGGTGTAGTTTTTCTTAAGACCTTCAGATTTATGTCTCTCCTAAGGCCAAGGTCAATGGCAGAGCAAATAACCTGGAGGTATTCTGGATTCTTAAAGCCTACCTGGGCTGTTCACCTGAAGGCCACTGCTGTGTAGGCAGGAAAATGGAGAATGGGAGGAAATATTTTAATGTAGTCCAGACATAAGTCTTGTGACTCATGTAGAAACGTCCTTCTTTGCTTGCTAGTCATTGCTTCCATTGCAACAAGGCTGCCCCTCCCAAGCCATGAGGAAAGTTATGGTGGAGTCAATACAGGTTTGCCAGATTGGGTGTTTCAAGAGGAGTGGGAGATCCAGATTTTTACGTGAAACTATTTTTTAAAAGCATTATTGAGATATAATTAATGTAAACTCTGTATACTTAAAGAATAAAATGTGTTTTCCCCCAACTTTACTGAGGTCTAATCGACAAATAAAATTGTGTATGTTTAAAATCTACAACATGATGATTTGATATACGTATACATGTGAATGATCACTGCAATCAAGTTATTTAACACGTCCATCTCCTCACATAGTTACTTTTTTAACTTTTTGGTGAAAATGCTTAAGATATACTCTCAACAAGTTTCAAATATGCAGTGTGGTATTATTAACTATAGTCACCATGCTGTACATTAGATCCTCAGAACTTACTCATCTTTTAACTGAAAGTTTGCACCCTTTGATTAACATTTCCCCACTTCCCACACCCCCCACTCCCAGCCCCTGGTAACCACCATTCTACTCTGTTTCTATGAGTTCGACTTTTTTGGATTTCACATATAAGATCATGCAGTATTTGTCTCTGTCTGATATTTCAAATAGCATAATACTCTCCAGGTTCATTTATGTTGTCACAAATTGCAGGATTTCCTTTTTTATGGCTGAATAATGTTCCATTATGTGTATATATACCACGTCTTCTTTTTCCATTCATCCATTGATAGGCATTTAGGTTGTTTCCGTAGCTTGGCTGTTGTTAATAATCTTGCAATAAACAAGGGAGTTCAGATATTTCTTTGAGATACTGATTTTGTTTCCTTTGGATATACCCAGAAGTGGATTGCTGGGTCATATGGTAGTTCTATTTTTAATTTGAGGAAGCTCTATATTGATTTCCAGAGTGGCTGTACCAATTTACACTCCCACCAACAGTGTACCAAGGTTCCCTTTTCTCCACATCCTCTCCAGCACCTGTTATTTCTTGTTGTTTTTTTTATAACAGACATCCTAACAGCCGTGCGGTAATACCTCATTGTGGATTTGATTCGCATAATGATTAATGTTGTCAAGCACTTTTTCATATACTCATTGGCCATGTGCATATCCTTCTTTGGAAAAATGTCTATTCAAGTCCTTTGCCCAATTTTAAGTCTCATTAGGTGATTTTGTTCTTTAGCTGTATGATTTGTTATATATTTTAGATATTAACTCCTTATCAATATATGGTTTGCAAATATTTTCTCCCATTCTGTAGGTTGCCTTTTCATGCTGTTGATTGTTTTATTTGCTATGCAGAATTTTTTTAGTTGGAGGCAATCCCATTTGTTTATTTTTGCTTTTGTGGCTTGTGCTTTTGTTGTCATAGCCAAAAAATCATTGCCAAGACCAATGTCAAGAAGATTTTTCCCTACGTTTTCTTGAGTTTTACAGTTTCAAGTCTTACATTTAAATCTTTACTCCATTTCAAGTTAATTTTTATTAGTGATGGAAGATAGGGTTCTGTTTTCATTCTTTTGTGTGTGGATATCCAATTTTCCCAACACCATTTACTGAAAAACTATCTTTCCCTCATTGTGTGTTCCTGGTGCCCTTATGAAAGATTAGTTGACTGTACGTGTGTGGATTTATTTCTGTGCTCTCTATCTGTTCCATTGGTCTATGTGTCTGTTTTTTATGCCAGTACACACTGTTTGGAGTACAATGAATTTGTGAATAGTTTGAAATCAGTATGTGTGATGCCTCCTGATTGTTCTTCTTTCTCAAGATTGCTTTGGTTATTCAGGGTCTTGTATGGTTCCATGTGAATATTAGGATTGTGTTTCTATCTGTAAAAAATGCCATTGGAATTTTTAAAGGGATTGCATTGAATCTGTAGATAGCTTTGGGTAGTACAGACATTTTGAAAATATGAATTCTTCCAATCCAAGAACACAGGCTATCTTCCCATATATTTGTGTCTTTTAAATTTTCTTTCATCAGTTTCTTATAGTTTTCTATGTACAAGTCTTTCACCTCCCTGATTAAGCTTATTCCTAATCACTTAATTATTTTTAATGCTATGGTAAATGGGGTACTTTCTTAATTTCTCTTTCAGATAGTTCATTGTTAGTATATAGAAACACTCTTCAATTTTGTGTGTTAATTCTGTATCCTGAAATTTTATTGAATTCATTTATTAGTTCTAACAGTTTTTTAGTGGAGTATTTTGAGTTTTCTGTATATAAGATAATGTATCTGCAAAGAGAGACAACTTTATTTCTTCCTTTCCAGTTTGGATGACTTTGTTATTCTTGCCTGATTACTTTGGCTAGGACTGCCAGTACTATTTTAATAGGAGTGGTGAGAGTAGGCACTCTGGTCCTGTTCCTGATCTTAGAGGAAAGGCTCTTCCTTTTTCACCATTGAGTATGAAGTTAGTTGTGGGCTTGTTGTACATGACTTTTATTATGTTGAGGTACATTCCTTCTATACCTAATTTGTTAAGAGTTTTTATCATGAAAGGATGTTAAATTTTGTTAAATGTTCTCCCTTCCTCTATTGAAATGATCATATGATTTTTATCCTTCATTTTTTACTGTAGTGTGTCACGTTTCTTGATTTGTATATGTTGATCCATCTTTGCAGACCTAGAATAAATCCCACTTGATCGTCTTGTGTGATCCTTTTAACGTGCTGTTGGATTTGGGCTACTAGTATCCTGTTGAGGACTTTTGCATCTATGTTCATCAGGGATATTGACCTGTAATTTTCTTTTCTTGTAGTATACTTGTCTGGCTTTGGTATCAGAGTATTGTTGGCCTCGTAAAATAGGTTTGGAACTGTTCCTTTTTTGGAAGAGTTTGATGAGGATTGGTGTTAATTCTTCTTGTAATGTTTGGTAGAATTCACTAGTGAAACCATATGTTCATGAGTTTTATTTTTTGGGAGAATATTCAGTCTCTTTACTAGATACAGATATATTCAGATTTTCCATTTCTTTGTGATTCAGTCTTGGTTCTATGTTTCTAGGAGTTTATCTATTTATTCTAGGTTGTTCAATTTGTTTGCATATTCATAGTATTCTCTTTTGATCCTTTATAGTTCTGCAGTATCAGTTATAATGTCTCCTCTTTCATTTCTGATGTTGATTATTTGAGTTTTCTTTTATTCTTAAGTTTGGCTTGTCAGTTTTGTTTATATTTTCAAAAAACCAGCTCTTAGTTTTGTTGATCTTTTCTGTTGCCTCTTTAGTCTCTATTTCATTTGTTTCTGCTCAAATCTTTGTTGTTTCCTTCCTTCTGCTAACTTAGGGTTTGGTTTGGTTGTTTGCTTGAGATTTTTTTCTTAAGTAAGCCTTTATCACTCTAAACTTCCCTCTTAGAATTGCTTTTGCTGAATCCCATAAGTTTTGGTATGTGTGTTTCCCTCTTTGTTTGTCTCAGTAAATTTTTTGATTTCCCATTTGCTTTCTTCTTTTGACTCTTCAATTGTTCAGGAGTGTTGTTTAATTTCCAAATACTTGTGAATTTTCCAGTTTTCCTGCTGTTATTGACTTTTAGTTTAATACCATTGTGGTCAGAAAAGATGCTTGATATTATGTCAATCTTTTTAAATTTATGAAGACTTGTTTTGTGGCCTGAAATATGATCTATCCTGGAGAATGTTCTATGTGCACTTGAGAAGAATGTATATTCTGCTGCTGTTGGATGGAATGTTCTGTATATGTCTGTTAGGTCCATTTGGTCTAAAGGTAGTTCTAGTCTAATGTTTCCTTATTAAGTTTCTGCCTGGATGTTGAAAGTGGAGTATTGAAGTCTTCTACTATTATTGCACTACTGTCTATTTCTGCCTTCAGATGTGTTAATATTGCTTAATATATTTAGGTGCTGCATTGTTTGGTGCATATATGTTTACAGTTGTTATATTCTCTCGATGATTTGATGCCTTTATCATTATATAATGACCTTCTTAGTCTATTGTGACATTTTTTTACTTAAATTCTATTTTGTCTGTTGGAGATGTAGTTACCCCTAATCTCTTTTGGTGTCCATCTGTATGGAATTCTTTTCCATCCCTTCACTTTCAGGCTATATACGTCCTTAAGGCCGAAGTGAGTCTCTGAAGGCAGGGTATAGTTGGGGCTATTTTTTTTTAATCCTCTCAGCCACTCTGTGTCTTTTGATTGGGTAATTTAATCCATTTACATTTGAAGTAATTATTGATAAGTAATAACTTACTGTTGCCATCATGTTCAACATTGTTTTATGTCTGTTTTGTAGTTTCCCTATCCTTTTCTTCCTCTCTTGCTATCTACCTTTGCGGTTTGATGATTTTCTGTAGTAATATGCTTTGATTACTTTCTCTTCATCTTTTGTGGATCTACTGTAGGTTTTTGTAGTGGTTTCCATTAGGCCTACATAAAACATCTCATAGTTATAATAGTTACTTTACGTTGATAATAACTTTGATCTCATTGGAAAACTCTATCCATTTACTCCCCTTCCCCAACATTTTGTTTTTGATTGCACAATATACATCTTTTTATTGTGTAGGCATTAATCAATTATTGTAGCTACAGTTATTTTTAATACTTTTTTCTTTTAACCTCCATATCAAAGTTAAGTGATTTACATACCACCATTATAGCATTAGTGTATTCTGAATCTGACTATGTACTTACTTTTACCAGTGAGTTTTATACTTTCGTATGTTTTCTGTTACTAATTAGTGTCCTTTCATATCAGCCTGAAGAATTCCCCTTAGTATTTCTTGTAAGGAAGGTCTAGTGGTATGAACTCACTCACCTTTTGCTTGTCTGGAGAAATCTTTACCTCTCCTTCATTTCTGAAAGATAGTTTGCTGGGTAAATTATTCTTGGTTGGCAGTTTTTTCTTTCAGCACTTTGAATATGTCATCCCACTCTTTCCTGGAAAGTTTCTGTTGAGAAATCTGCAAATAGCTTTTTGTCAGTTTATGTATATGAGATGATTATTTTCTCTTGCTTCTTTCAAAATTCTCTCTTTGTCTTTGATTTTTGATGGTTTTATTATAATATGTCTTGGTGAAGTCTTGTTTGGGTTGAATCTGTGTGGCAATCTATGAGGTTGATATACCTGAATGTCTATATCTCCTCCCAGATTTGAGAAGTTTTCAGCTATTTTGTCTTAAATAAGCTTTTTTTCCCCCCACCTTCTGTGACTCCCATGATGCAAATATTGTTTCATTTGTTGGTGTCCCATCACTTAGGTAGGCTG